TCATTCATTTCACCCAGTTGCTTTCTTTGTTTGGAGTTGGTGGTCTATTTACATGGACTTTATGCTGATTTGATGATCACTTATGTTTATTTTGATGGTCAGTCAATATTTGTTATGTCACATTGCTTTAATTATTTTTTGTGCTTATTGACGCCTGTTTATTTTCACTGTGCATTTTTCACTGGCATCAATCCAGATTATAAGGTGCATTTTTAGTTTCATGCACCTTGTATGATTAGTTTTGCACATATATTTTTTTTGCTTTTTTTTGTCACAGTTTTCTTTGCACGGCACTTTTTGTGCCCTTTTGTTTGGTACGTGTTAGTCCTATTATCTTGAATACATCATTTATGTTCACTTGATTATTGTGCACGTTGTTTTCATCTCAATCCATATTGCACTTAGTTTGGTCTGGTTTCAGGCCTTTACATTTTTATGTATTATTTATGATACATTTATAGTTTCATGCTTTTATAGTTTCATGCATCTTGTATGATTAGTTTTGCACATATTTGTTGCCATTTGATTTTGGCAGTTTTCTTTGCCCAGTGTTTTTTGTGCACTTTTATTTAGGACGTGTTAGTCCTATTATGTTGAATACGTTATTTATGTTCACTTGGTGACTACTGTTCACGTTGTATTTCATCACTATCTATATTGCACTTAGTTTGGTCTGAGTTCAGGCCTTTATATTTTTATGTATTATTTATGTTCACTTGCTGATTATTACTCACGTTGTCTTCGTCACAGTTCATATTGCACCTAATTAGGTCTGGATTCAGGCCTTTATACTTATCACCTCTGTTTTGGGGTTATTTTTTCTGTCTTCACACTCTTCAAATTATTGTGTCCTTAGTACTATTGATATTAGCGCAACACCATTTTATTTGTTTTGCTGTATGGTCTTGGCCACTGTGCTGCAGCTCAGTTTCAGGGTCTTGCCAATCTTCTTATAGCCTAGGCCAGTGGTGGGCAACCTTTTTTTTCAACTGAGCCAAATCTCGCCAAAACCACGATTGAAATTTATTTTGAGAGCCACATTTTTAAAACTGAAAATACATCCCCCATATAGTAATTAATCCCCCATAGTAATTCATCCCCCATACAGTAATTCATCCCCCATATAGTAATTCATCCCCCATAGTAATTCATCCCCCATATAGTAATTCATCCCCCATAGTAATTCATCCCCCATATAGTAATTCATCCCCCATAGTAATTCATCCCCCATATAGTAATTCATCCCCCATAGTAATTCATCCCCCATATAGTAATTCATCCCCCATAGTAATTCATCCCCCATATAGTAATTCATCCCCCCTATAGTAATTCATCCCCCCTATAGTAATTCATTCCCCATATTGTGTCAATTCACTTACCTTTGCTCCGCGCGGGAACACGGCGAGAGGAGCAAAGGTAAGTGAATTGACACAATATGGGGAATGAATTACTATAGGGGGGATGAATTAATATGGGGGATGACTATATGGGGGATGAATTACTATGGGGGATGAATTACTATATGGGGGATGAATTACTATCCCCCAGCACAGTCTTTAACTCCAGCCACCTGTTAAGCAGCAGGAAGACATTTGTATGGGCCTGACATGATTGCTACAGGTGACATCATGGATAATGGCATTTGAATAGTAGTCACAGCAGTACAGCATGATTCCACTTTCGTGCCTGATTCCTGAGGTTGCTTGATGGCACATAACAGTCCTCTGGTTCGATGGTTGCCGGTGACTAGGGGCAACAGCCATGCAGGTTGCTATAGGGATATCTCGGATGAGAACCCCAAATGTATCACTACGCTCTTGAGGGCCACTGTGTTCCTGGGTCCCCCTAAGCTTCACGCATCAGGCAACACACATTTTTCCACACTTGCATCCAGTCAGTGAACAGTCCATAAGCTTTGTTTTTGTTATTTTATTAGGGGAAATAACCTGGATGGGGTAATAGGGATTATGGAATGCCCAACTTGACTGAATCGATGCACGGGGACAGCTTCCTTCATATTTACAGAAAAATATCATGGGCTGTTCTCCTTGAATGCGGTCAGTCTTTATGAATCAGTAGCAAAAGCCCATTATGGGCTAGGGACTCTAAGCCCCTCTGAAAGTTTGCTCAGACTGTTGAAAACTACATACAGAAGTATCTCCTCTCCTCCTCTGTAGAACTGCTCCTAGCTCCATGGTCTGCAGACACTACCAGCCTTCCTGTCTACTCTAAAGATCTCCCAGAACAAGCATAAAGGGTTAAGCATAGTGCTGTCCTTTGAAAGCTTGCTACATGTTGCAGTCTCTCCCCTTGTGAATCCCTGAGCAATGATCCTGTTCATACCATGATGCTGAATGGATCTTCCTGAGCCAGGCCAAGCCCCCCCTAGACCAAGGGACCCCTGTCAGGCCACCCACAGCCTCCTCAGCACTCCATCTTCCACCCGACTCCTCTGCTAGCATAACTATTCTATATTTATGAGTTAGCCTTACCACACTACCAGGGCTTCCTAGCCTGGGATTGGTCAGACTCTTACGAATATGCAGATTTAGGTCTTCATTCCTTCCGCTCACTGGCCTCCAGAACCAGGTGGAGGCGATAGAGTCCCAACCTGCTGAGTCACCTAGCCTGATGTGCAGTGACCTGACCTAATTACAGACTCACACAGTTACCATGAGTCATATGACAATAAATTTACCTACACTAACACTAGCAGCACACTAGAGGGTGCTACTTAAATAATGAGAGAAAAGTTAATTGTGCATGTCAAACTCAAAAGCTGTATTACAGTTAGGAAGTATTTCACAGAAAGCTGCCTTGTGCTTTAGGACTATTGTGAAGTGTTGATGTTTTAACCCCTTACTGACTAATAAATGACAGCAAAGGCAGACCTATATATGAGGTGCCCTTAAGCTGTAAAGCAGGTGCCTTCTTTCCTCATGCATATATGGTGTCACTTATGTGGGCCTTACATGACTTACAATAAGGTAGTCCTCTGTGCTGCTATATATATATATATATATATATATACTGTATGTATACTGCAGGCTGCAAGGTGGGATAAAGGACAAGGAAAGATGGTAATTTGGTTCTCTATCCATAACAAAAACACATGGTTTTTACCAGCTTATTAGAGGGAAGGGGGGGGGGGGGGTGGGGGGTAGATGAGGGGGTTGAATAGGATGGGTCTGGGTCTTGCTGTTGATGGGAGCATGGTGAGAGGGGGATGGACATCCTGGGACATAGCTTTGATTTTGCTGGATCAGGGCAGAAGTTGATCAACCCTCCTTTTCTTGGCTGACATTGCCGCTTATTATAACATTGTGGATTTCAGGTCTTCCCCAGCTTCCTATGATAAGTTGCTTCTCCTGGGCTTCAGGGTCCTACTCCTCAAAATTATTAAAAGCTCTGTTGAAAAATAAAACCATAAATATGGAAAAATTGGCATTTTACAAAATTCCTATCTAGGTCCACTTACTGCAGGTCTAGAGTAGTCTAATTTCTGGAAATGCAGGTAGGTGTGCCATTTTATTGCTGTAATGCTCCTTCTGTTCTTGGTGCATCGCTGAATTATAATCATTGATACTGTGCCACCTTGTTTTTAGAGATTTCACTGCAAAATATTACATAAAAAATTATGGATTAAAATAACATTTTTCTTTTTTTTTCTCTCTTTTTATTTGTTTTAAAGAGTTTTTTGACTACTGGTCATACATGCATGTTTTGTACATTTACCAGCAAGGCAATCTGGCAAAACGTGCATAAATTGTTGTTGCCTTTTTGGAAAGAAATTACTGATTTATCTTGGCAAAGACCGATTTTACATACTATTTGGGAGCAATAGATGGAATCTATCAGAATAGTGATGCCACTATTTAGTGGAAGCAAATATGTCCACCTTTAGGTATTTTCCTTTAGTACTGCTGGCAGTACAAATTGCCACTTCACCTACATTAATGTGGGGTCCTGGATTAAGGTAGATCATGGACTAAGACAAAGCATGCATTGGGGCATAGCTCCCTGCAAGGAGTTTCCCAGGCTTAACCCCCCCCCCCACCCCCAACTGCTGAGCCACTAATCAGATTAATTAGATTTTTTGTGTGTACTAACTGGAAAGTGTGTTGGGGACATTATATATTACTTACTGCATTGCCCAACTTATGTTAGGCATATACTGCAAAGGAAAGGTCTGCTTTACTCACAGCCATTACCCAAAATATTGTATAGAAAAAAAGTAGAAAATAAAGCTTCAACTTTTTCGACTTACAGTTCAGAAGGCACAGGTGATACCACTTTGTCTCATTGCTTCTTCCTGGGAATGGTGGGTGCTTGCAATCCCATGAAAATGTGCTGTGGCCTATTGCCTTTATGAGTGGTCAGCATTGTTGGGAGGTGGTGATAAGGCACAGTGACATCACACACCTTCCAAAAGGATCAAAAGCAAGAGCCAAATTTTTTTTTTTTTTTTAATTTTGGAACAATCTTTTCCACAAGCTGGGGAGGGGTGGTGTCAGTAAAGTAGCTATTCAAGAAGAAGGCAACCACCCCAGTGCCCATATCCAGGTTCCTCTGTATACTGTGGTCCTAACTCTATGGTTTTGAGAGTCTCCAAGTTGGAACATATATAGCAGTGGATAAAGTAAGGGCAGGTTTGTCTGGAGGGAAGCGCTTCCACATATACTTTGCAAATGTGTGCAACAAAACCCTCTGTTTTAACGAGAATTGTAGGACAATGTCAATTTGGTTTGCTTGAAGGCTAGCTGGTAAGTGTGCTGGGAAATTGTGATGTCAGTAAAGTAAACCTTTAAGAAGAACTTTAAGTGACTTGTAAGCTAAGGCAAAGCTTCAAAAAACCTGATCAAACATTCAAAGCTGTAGCCAAGTGAAAGGCATATCAAATGAAATAGGCCATCACTATTCATTTTTGTAGTTACAACACTTTTTACAAAATAAGACTTCTTTTAATGTGAATTGTTTCTGTTTGCTTTCTTTGGATACAGGCACTTGTGATTGCTGGAATTTCACTCCAGTCAGCAAACCTTTATGGCTATGTTCATTGTAAAACAGGAGGACAAAAAAATGTAGGAAGGGCAGCTTCTAGGTTCTTGTCCCAACAACTCTTCCAGCGGGTGAGTTTATATCGTGCTTCAGTTTTCAGTACACCTCTGCAATGTTATAAGTATCTCTTTTTAGACTACAGTGTACTCATTTTACAAAACTTAACTATCTCCATTGGCACACCCCAGAACTCTTGTTAGCATGTCCAAGCCCAAGAAATACTGTATATGCTTTACAGAACATAAGTCAAACGAAAAAGCTAGGGTGTTACTTTGCAACAGAGTGAATAATAGAATTAAACACATTCAACTTCAGGGGCACAACTGTGTTATAACTGAGGTTCTAAGAAAGAAACCTGCGCTAACGGATTTAACATTTTTCGTCAATGCATCTGAATGATAACGGTCAGTATGGATGTTTATTTTCTTTACTTCTCCTTTAAATTCATAATATGTACAGAGTATTTATTCCCTGCTTTACATTATCATTTGGCCAGACACATGAAGCTTAGAAATGATTGACAAAATTAAGCAAATTAGATTTTGCAGCGGAATTGCCAGTTTTTTTTTCATTCACCAAAAATGTTCTCTAGTTTTACCTTACCCTATTAAAAGAAGAAATGAGTAAAATAAGCAAAAATGTTTGCTATTTAAAGCTACTTATAATATGCAGGAAGTTAAAAAAAAAAAAAAAAAAAAGATGGAAAAAAAAGTAAAGCTACATGTCACAGTGGAGATTTTTTTTTTATTAATATTAGGCTCCATGCAAATTTTAATAATGCTGGTAGCGTTAGCTGTGTAAAGTCACATTAAAAACGCAAGTTTTTCAGCGTTTTTGCATTAGTGTTTAGACGTGTTTTGTCATGTTTGCGTTTTTTTTTTTTTAATAAAAATACCATGACCCACCAACACAAAAAATATTCAAAATAAATTCTCCTACTCCTGATGATTGCAGCAATACCACATGTGTGCGTTATTTGTAGCTGCAGTAGGGCCAAAAATCAATAGTATGCATTTTTTTTTTTTTGCTCTATCTAAACACACTGACCACTAACACTCTCATGGATATTACATAGAAACTTTTTTTCTTACCTAAGACACACTGTCCCCAACTGACAGTAACACTTGCTAAACTAGATCAAGACATGATCTACCTGATCTTGTGAATGATGACTACAATCCGATTCCTATCATAGTGATTGTGTGATCGAGAGGTGATTCCTCCAGTTCCCAATCAGTACGAGACCCAATGCTGTCACCATGAGATTAATCTCAGTGTTGGATGCACACAGTCAACACAAACAGAGAAACATACATATGCTGCACCCAGGAATAAAACCCATGAAGAGGTTTACAAAATTCCAATAGGGAGCATAACTATTCATTTTAATACTTTGGCTAGTTCAGTATTTTTCCCAGGAATTGATCTTTAGTCATTTTCTTTTATTGCTGAGTGTGTCCTTGGGGAAATGTCCCTTTTTTCCTGTTGTGTCTCAAGGACAGTAAGCTAGGAAAAATTTCTCTATAGAACAAACGGCACACAAGCATTGTGTGACACCTTCATATAAAACATAAAATAGTAAAATATGGTGTTCACAAGCATTCTTTATAGACTTACTATATCACATAAAATAGCATCTAGGAAGAGACCTGCTTGACCTTCACTGTGGCATGATTGTTTCCTTTTTTCTTTTGAGTGCTTACTGTCTGTATCTAAAAGTAAATTATTTTGCAATGGGGTAACAGTGGTAAAACACTTAAGTCCTCATGCAGAGTGGATGTTTTTACAGCAGCTGTTTTTGGCTTTTGACGTTTTTTTTCTACAGCCAGTAAACTCCCCAGTATGTTATCCTATGTGTCCATGCCCACAAATACTGTAATCAACGTTTTTTAGGTAGGGTCATTTTTTGGCTGGAAAAAAAACCCCAGAACTAGTGGGTTTCTAGAGGAGTTTTTTAGCTGTAAAAATGCTCTAACGCTGAAAAAACGCAGCAAAACACAGAAAATCGTGGCAAACCAGCCTTTTTGGACTTTTTTTTTACCAAAAAAAAAAAAAATTTATTTGGTAAAAAAAACCCCTAAAAATGCAAAAAACGTGGCTAAATGCTAATACAAAAACATTAAAAAATACTGAAAAAACTCACATTTTTAATGTGACTTCACACAGCTAACGTTACCAGCATTATTAAAACGCCCAGTGTGCATGGAGCCTAATAGAAAGAAGAGTCCCTGTCAGGTTTATATTGCTATAAAACAGTACCAGCAATTCAATTATGAAGCAGCGCCAGACCAAAATCGGATAAAGAGTCTACAATCATTTGTTGTAGATGAAAAAAAGTCACATGCAGTACCTCACAGAAGTGAGTACATCCCTCACATTTTTGTAAATATTTTATTTTATCTTTTCATGTGACAACACTGAAGAAATGACATTTTGCTACAATGTAAAGTAGTGAGTGTACAGCTTGTATAACAGTGTAAATTTGCTGTCCCCTCAAAATAACTCAACACACAGCCATTAATGTCTAAACCGCTGGCAACAGAAGTGAGTACACCCCTAAGTGAAAATGTCCAAATTGGGCCCAAAGTGTCAAAATTTGGTGTGGCCACCATTAATCTCCAGCGCTGCCTTAACCCTCTTGGGCATGGAGTTCACCAGAGCTTCATAGGTTGCCACTGGAGTCCTCTTCCACTCCTTCATGATGACATCACGGAGCTGGTGAATGTTAGAGACCTTGCGCTCCTTCACCTTCTGTTTGAGGATTCCCCACAGATGCTCAATAGGTCTGGAGAGAGGACATAACAAAAATGTGAGGGGTGTACTCACTTATGTGATACTGTAAGGGGTGTACTCACTTATGTGATACTGTAAAACAGCCAATGCAGTTTGGGGGCAAAACCACTCCCCCTTCATCAGGTTTCAACACAGGATCAAAAAGTAGAAGAAAGTAGTTACTTCCCAGATCTGTATTAGAACCAGTATTGAACTCTCCTCATGGAGGATCAATCTGACGGCAGTTGCTGAGCAGCAATGGAGGGAAGGGGGAGTGAAGTTGCTCCCGAAACATGTTGGATGTTTTTATATGACTTTTATCAACAACTGAATTATATGGGACTCTTATCTGATTTTGGTCTCTTTTTTTATTGCTGTCCATCAAGCAGATGTTTATGTAACAGGAAATAAGGATAAGAGCCCATACAATTACACACAGTGGTAAACACCTGAGTAGAGGTTATAACCCTTCCCTACACTATCCTAACTAATGCATAAAGCATGATTTTTATTCCATACTCCTTTACCTTGCAGACTCTGTGAACGAAATGCACAACTCTCAAAGGGACCATGGCTATATCATTATTTCCCACTCAAGGACCTATTGTGGAATAATTTGTGGATTATTGTGCCTTTATAAGATCAATTTATTTAATATCATAAATTCTAAAACCAAAGTTGTGTCTTGTGTTGTTATTTTACTGAGTTAATAGGTCACTAAAAATGTTCATGTGTTGTTATTTATTAACTTACCCTGGTGGATGCAATCTCAGTTTAAAGGAAACCTATTGTCCTAAAATGTGTATTGCTGACCTCTCCTGAAAATCCTAGTTGTCTGGCATTGACCAACTGGAGATTGAAAATTCTCACTTTTTCTAACCTACTTGTGCGAGGTCATTGACTCAGAAAATACTAAGCTAGAGGTCATTGACTCAGAAAATACTAAGCTAGATATATTCTTAGGAGGCAGGCAGCAATTGTTATCAGTACATATATCCTTTAAGCCTAAGTATCAGCTTTGATATTGTAAAGTAGAATACTAAGTTGTAACATACAGTATATAAATGAAATCTGCAGCTTTCTTTACAGTAATAGTATCACATGGTCCTGCCATGAAGATCCTTGTTCAGTCACCTCCTATTACAAGCAGCCATTTTAAAACACAATACAAAGGCATGCCCGACTGTTGTCATGATTTGGAAACCCACCTGGAGAATTGCCATGCAGCCATATAAACAGGATGTGGTTGCAAAGAGTCAGCAGGACTTAGCAGCACTTAGTTGCAACAAGGGATGAAATTAAAATACTATTTTCATTGTTTTTGTAAAGGCTCTTATTTATCCAGGTCATGTTTCAGCTAGTAATTAATCACATTTGACAACACATCTCTAATGTTGAAGGTATTTTTCCACTTATCCAAGAAGCTTCCTTAGTTCTAATGAGTGTCAGGAACCTACTCCCAACATTCATACTCTCACAAGTTGTCAACTTAAGCTCCATGCACACTGGCTGAACAAAGCACTGCTCCTAGAGGAGTGTAGCGTTTTGCCTGTAGAAGCAATTAATTTTGTCCTATGTGTCCATGCACATTAAGTAGTCTAGAGCCTAAACGCTAGTACAAAAAATGCTCAGAATTATTATTTTTTTTTTTTTCTGCTAAGAGTACTGCCGTTTTTTTTTTTTTTTTTTTTTTTTTTTTTTTTTAAGACAGTGTGCATGAATCCTAATCATACTTTTTTTTTTTACAGTACAGGACACAGGTATAGTGACAGACAACTGGGTTATATACAGCTACCTTTAAGTGACTGGACACTGACAAGTCAGAGCTGTAAGGACCCCCATATAACCCCGTCCACTCCCAGAAATCCTGTTTTTTGCTACTGTCCTTACCTGATCAATGTCTCTCTCCTGAGGGAGATTACGGATTTCTTCTAAAAGTTTTCTGAGTAATATCCTTCTTCCACTACCAACTGTGCACCACAGCATCTTGAGTTAATGGCACAGTTTTTAAATCAGTACTCTAGACACCAGTGGGACCATACCTGCACCTTGCTGGATGGATAACTTGAGACCAGCATTTAATGTTGCCTCAAGTATTGGACCCGGACTTTGGTGCTCCTCCTGAGCAACACGTGGCATTATTTGCAGGGTTCTATACAGGTCCTGGGCAGTAATGATCTGCTGAGGTGTGACCCAGTCCCTGCAGACCCCTCAGATGTATGCACACCTAACAGAGGGTGAAGCCAGGATAGAGTTTGTCCCTAACATTCTGCTGCTGGACAAGGTTGGATCTGCTGCAGTGAGTCTGGGCTTTTAGTGCTTCCTTGGGCTCAGTGTTCTGTGTTCTGTGTTCAACCCCCTGAGGTATACTAAAGCCTGTGTTGCAACATTTTAAACATTTGACACAGTCATAGGCAGTAGAGCTGATGCACGTTTGCACACAGCAGGTAAGTATAGACATGTTTGTTATTTTATTTTCTTTAAAAAATAAGCCTTTAGAATCACTTTAAGGAAGACATTCTAGATTTTTACACTTAATATGATGTTCCCTAAAGGGTTAAATGAGGAATTGAGATTAACACATTAATTTGAGTAGGCATAAGTCTACTTGGCTTCTAGAAATGTCCATATGAGGTATGTTTAATAGATTCAATGTATTTGTGTTTATCTCCTCAAATAGAGGTTTCAAGTACTAATGCTTTAACTTATGCTGCTGTTAGTATTTATATCTATATATCTCACCATCTGCCCCCTCGACCCTATCTCCTCACAACTCCTACAACCTCCCTCCTCCTCCATCCTATGCTCCCTCACCCACATCTTTAGTCTCTCCCTCTTTTCCGGTGCATTCCCCTCCCCTCTGAAGCACGCGCACATCACCCCTATACTTAAAAAGCCCTCCCTGGACCCCAACAACCTTAGACCCACCTGCTGCCATTTACATCCAAACTCCTCGAGCGCTTAGTCTACAATTGCCTAAGCTCCCACCTCAACCACAACAACCTCCTCGATCCCCATAGTCTGGCTTCCATCCCCTACACTCCACCGAAACTGCCTTACTCAAACTATCCAACTACCTACTAACAGCCACTACTCTGTGCTCCTACTCCTTGACCTCTCCGCAGCCTTCAACCCAGTCGACCACCCCCTCCTCCTCAAAAAAGCTACACTCCCTTGGCCTCAGAGACTCTGCTCTCTCCTGGCTCTCATCCTACCTATCACAATGCTCCTTCAGCGTTACCTACAACGCTACCACCTCCCCCCCCACTCCCCCTCTCTGTTGGGGTCCCTCAAGGCTCTGTCCTCAGGCCCCTTCTCTTCTCCATCTACACCTCCTCCCTTGGCCAACTCATACACTCTCATGGCTTCAACTACCACCTCTATGCCAATGACACACAAACCTCTCTCTACCCCTCACCTCAACCCCCTCAGTCTCCGCCCGAATCACAAGCCTACTGAACGACATATCAGACTGTATGTCACTCCACTTCCTTAAACTGAACCTTTCCAAAACCGAGCTCCTCGTCTTCCCCCCTGCCCGGACACCACCCCCCACTGACTTCTCCATCACGTCCAACAATGCCACCATCAGGCCTGCCCCACAAGCCAGAGTATTTGGGGTCATACTTGACTCCAATCTATCCTTCAGCCCCAAGTCCAATCACTAACAAACTCATGCAGACTCCACCTCCACAACATCGCCAAAATACGCACCTTCCTAACCCCGGATACTTTAATTCATCCCCCATAGTAATTCATCCCCCCTATAGTAATTCATCCCCCATATAGTAAATTCATCCCCCATATAGTAATTTGGGGAAGGAATTCCTTCATAAATCTAAATTCCTTCATGTATTCTGCTACATGACTTTGGTAAAAACAAAATTTCAAATAAGTGTATATTAATTGGTTAGAGTGAATGTTATATAATCTACAAATGACGCTATATATACTGGAATTTTTTTTTTTTTCTAATACTTTTAAAGCAGCGATCAGCAACAACTTATAGCAGGACTGTGATAGTACAGCGGCCAATCTGACACTAGTCAGATTTATGAAGGAATTAATTTTTTTTTTTTGGGATATGTTTGAAAGCAAAAAAATTTTTTTCTTATATAAATTGTTGAAAAAAAAAAAACACAGTGGTGATCAAATACCACCAAAAGAAAGCTCTATCTGTGAAGAAAAAAAAAAAAGTATAAATTTAATTTGCGTACAGCTTTGCATGACCACACAATTGCCAGTTAAAATAGTGCAGTGCCACATAGCAAAAACAGCGTAGTCAGAAGGGGGTAAACCCTTCCACAGCTTAAGTGGATAATTTTCTTTCTGATGTCCTTGGACAACTCTCCTTCGCTTGCTCTGGTCTATATTCAGGGTGTGGTTCACACAATGGTACTAAACAGAGTGATTACTTTTACTTTGAAATATCACTGCAATTTATTTTATTTTTTTTAATAATTCTCGAGTTACCACCAAATCTGACCAGTCCAGTTTAAAATATATTTGTAGAATAAGCAAAGTGTTATAGCTTTTCACTTTTTAGGAGGAATAAAGACCTGTTGTAATGTTCTGTAAGGTTACCAACATATTTTTTCCAAGTTTGTGGGTGATCAGCTTACAAACCCCATAGGGAACCTCATCAGTGGTTCCTGACACCAAAGTGCTGCACTTAGTTATCAGATTATGTAATACTATATAAGAGTGTCAAAAAGAACAGATGATTAGAGATTGCAGACATGCTATTGGTGTGGTTGGTGACTGGAAACTTGATGCAGATATGCAAGATTCTGGAAATCTTATACAAGACTACTAAAATCCCTTTACAAATCAATGTTTCTGTTCCCAACACTTACTGCTGTGGACCAAGGATCAAACCAAATATAATGGGCCGCAGGTTGGGCACCAGGATCCTAATCCTTTACAGAATACAATGCAGCCATATACCATACTTCAGAAAACATAACTGATAATCTTAGTAATTCCAAAATGGACTAATCATATTTCAACCAGTCCAAATATATTTTGCATGAACAGACAAAATGTAAAACTAGTTACACATGGTGAAAAGAAGTAAAATGTTTATATTCATCTTTTTTACATGTTTGCATTGTGTCCATTTTATAAACAGCAAAAATATTCTTCAAAATATGAAAGGGCTGAGTATTAAAACAGAACCTAGCATACTCAGTTACTGTGCCTTAAGTGGGGTTGCAGGAATTTTCAACCATGGACCAGAATCTCTAGGTAATAAATAAGATTTTATGCAAATAAAACCAGGATAACTGATATTTGTTAAACAGTTCCTGCTTGGCCTAAAGGAGAACGATGGTCGAGCGAGACTCTCGTTGGTCCAGATGGGCATGATGTCCTCCTGGATTGCCGACTTGAACGTGCCTGCAGGGCCACACTGCGGCAAGATCTGTCACTGGCTGTGTCCATAGGACACAGCTGATGACTGATCTGTGTACCGGTCTGTTGCCAGTACCATGTGACCTGCTGTGACCAATCACAGCAGGCCACATGACAATTGTATACAATGGTTGGCTTCCTTTCATGCTATCCATTGTATACAATTGTGTTGTTAGCTGTGACTGGTCACAGTGATCACAGACTGGGCCAATCACAGCCCAGCTGTGTCATGTGATTACCTGTGGCCAATCACAGCTAATCACAACCAAAAAAAACAGTGAATGAATCGATTTCATTCAGTTAAATGCTTGCCTATAGCAGTAAAATTCACTGCTATAGGCAATCAAAAAAAAAAAAAAAAAAATCACTTCCCCAGAGTAGTACAATATTAGTATGGTAACATAATGCTTTGGTCACAGTGTTTTATAAAATAAAAAAGTAATAAAAAATTGGAAGTTCTTAATTTTCCAAAAAAAATTACAACTTCCAAAAACTTGCCATACCTCTTACTAAATACCGCAGACTGTCTACATTCAAAAAAGGGGCAATTTGAGGGACCCTCCTGACATTTTTGGGCCTCAAGAAATTAGATCAGTACCATCAGTACATCAGGATTGATCAATTTTCAAATATATATACCACAGTTTGTGGACTCTAACTTTCCTACAAACTAAATAATATGGGTTAATTTGTGTTATTTTCAAAGAAATGTAGCAGAATACATTTTGAACTAAAATTATGAAGAACAATTATTTATGTGCAAAAATGTTTTTTATTTTTTCAAGTGGTCAGTTTAAGTAAAGCAGCGCCTTAATGCAAAAAATGGCCTGGTCAGGAAGGGGGGTAAATCCTCAGGAGTGCAAATGGTTTAATACCGCCAAAAAGAAAGCTCTATTTGTGTGAAAAAAATATTATACAAATTTAGTTTGGGTACAGGGTTGCATGAATGTGCAATTGTAATTTAAATTGAGTGCGCTGAAAATTGGCCTGGGCAGGAAGGGGGTAAAAGTGCCCTGTATTGAAGTGGTAAAAATGTAACAAACACTGAATAAAAAGGTAATTATGAAGCTGTAAGATTTAAAAAAACAGCCACAGTGCAATAAGTTGTAAAATGCTTTTTTCATCTGATGTCATAAAAGTCATCACTGGTCAGTGTTCCTCTCAGCACAAAAATCTTGAATTCCTACAAAAGAAAAATAAGATAAATAACAATACGTACAGTAAATATACAATTTTATTAATGGAAACAAAATACTACATATTTTCCCTGTATATTTCCTATGCCAAGTGCTCATCGCAACATCTCTTAGACTGAGGCCTCACAACCATGTGTTTTCAAGCACGTGTACACATGTGTTTAGTGAGAAGTTTATTTTGGGTTTGTGATGCATTACTGCATGTTAAAAAAAGCCTGTTTAAAGGCACCAGCAGCATATGGAAGAAGACAATAACATATAGTAAAGCACACATAAGACCAAGAGATACTAAAAGGTGGATCAACCACATACAACCTTTATACGATACCATAAAACTTGATAATAGAATTGCTGGTTGTATGGCTTTCAAGGATAAAGGAAAATAAATCTCTGCTGCTCCTTTAACCACCTCCCGTCCGGCCGTTGTATATAAACGGCCGGACAGTGGTAGTGCAGGGTCAGGTGACCATTTATAAACGGCCTCCCCTGCTTGTGCGTGCTCCCTGAGAGCGTGCAGCACCGCGATCCAGTGCCCGCTGTGTCCTCAGGACACAGTGGAACACTGATCGTCGTAGGGACCTCTCTGCGAGGTCCCGATCATGTGATCACTGATTGGCCAATCAGTGATCACATCTGACATCATTGCTTACTACGTGTGAAATCTGTGAATGATCACAGAGGTCACATGGTACAAGGCTATTCACAACAGCCTTGTACCATGTGACAAGCTGTGACCAATCACACTCACACAGTAGTTCTCAATGGCTGCAAGAATGCAGCCAGAGAGGAGAAATGATTGCTTTTGCAGCCTTTATGGCTGTAAAAGTAATCAGTAAAAAAAAAAAAAAAAAAATAACCCCCCACAAGTAGTACAGTGTCACCATGGTGACACTGTACTGCTAGGGTGACAGTATTAAAAAAAAAAAATACAAATAATAAAAAAAAATAAAAAATGTTAAAAAAAAGTTTAAAAAATTATAATTTTTGGTTATAAACTAATTTGAGTTTTTTTTTTTTTTACTAAAAAGATAACGGAATAAATACATTTTGCCCAAGATTTATGATGAAATATTTATTTGCAAAATTTTTATAAGAAAAACCCTTTTTTCAAAATTTTTGGACTTTTTCATTTGCATAGCAAAAAAAAAATAAAAATCCCAGTGGTGAATAAATACCACCAAATTAAAGCTTTATCTGTCTCAAAAAATGCTAAAAAATTCATACGGGTACAGTGCTGCATGACCGCGCAATTGTCATTCAAAGTGTGATAGCACTGAAAGTTGAAAATTGGCCTGGACAGGAAGGGGGCTCAGGCCAGAGTTCTCATGGAAGATAATAAGCAAACGGGCACAGCAAGGGTTAAAATGAGATCAACATATCCAAAAATAAAAGTGCAAATTTCCATTTAAAATAGCAGAACCTGGAGTAGTACAGAAGTAGCCACATTGAATGAATGTGTGTAACAGCTATCAGGAGCAGAAAAGCTGGTTGAATTCACTGTATACACTCTGCACAGGCAGTGTTGAGGCCTGCTGGAAAACAGGGTTGAATCTGCAGTTGTCAGGCCACATATAACCAGTCTCCATATGGTGCAGAATCGCACTCGGGAGAACAGCAAGCTTCTGTGAGAAATAGCAAAGCCTGCATTGGGAATGTGTTGTGACAGGAGAGAGAATGACAATATGGTTCAAGGGCCCCTCTTTTTCAAGAATAGCCAAATAGGTGCAAGACTGCTTTTTATACTGGACCTGACTGAGATATTCAGACATAACAGGGAAGGATAATTGGCAGACTGCAAGGCTTAGCAGCACTGCTGTGAATTAATTAAACCCAAGTGGGGAAAAAAAAAAAAGGAAAGATATGGTACTATGGTAAATGAAAATCAAAATGACTATTGAATGCATAAATAAGCATAGATGAGGCACTTATCAGGGAATAAAAGGAGGGAGAATTAAAAATGGACTAGAAAAGACCAGCTACGCTATGCTGAAAAAATTATACAACAAAGAGATATCAAACTGAAAAAAAATTCTTAAGGCTCAAAAAAAAACACTACAAAAAAAAAAAAAAATATAGCAAGTAGTAGAATAAGTATTGAACACGTCACCATTCTCAGTAAATAGTCTATATTGCCAAAAGTATTGAGACGCCTGCCTTTACACGCACATAAACTTTAATGGCATCCCAGTCTTAGTCCGTAGGGTTCAATATTGAGTTGGCCCACCGATTGCAGCTATAACAGCTTCAACTCTTCTGGGAAGGCTGTCCACAAGGTTTAGGAGTGTGTCTATGGGAGTGTTTGACCATTTTTCCAGAAGCGCATTTGTAAAGTCAGGCATTGATGTCCGATGAGAAGGCCTGGCTCACAGTCTCTGCTCTAATTCATCCCAAAGGTGTTCTATCAGGTTGAGGTCAGGACTCTGTGCAGACCAGTCAAGTTCCTCCACCCAAAACGCGCTCATCCATGTCTTTATGAACCCTGCTTTGGGCACTGCTGCACAGTCATGTTGGAACAGGAAGGGGCCATCCCCAAAATGTTCCCATAAAGTGGGGAGCATGAAATTGTCCAAAATGTCTTGGTATGCTGACGTCTTAAGAGTTCCCTTCACTGAAACTAAGGGGCCAAGCACATCCCTGAAAATAAACCCAACACCATAATCCCCCCTCCACAAAACTTTACACTTGGCACAATGCAGTCAGGCAAGTACCGTTCTCCTGGCAACTGTAAAACCCAGACACGTCCATTGGATGGCCAGACAGAGAAGTGCGACTCATCGCTCCAGAGAACATACAGTGCCTTGAAAAAGTATTCATACCCCTTGGAATTTTCCACATTTTGTCATGTTACAACCAAAAATGTAAATGTATTTTACTGGGATTTTATGTGATAGACCAAACACAAAAGTGGCACATAATTGTGAAGTGGAAGGAAAATGATAAATGGTTTTCAACATTTTTTATAAATAAAAATCTGAAAAGTGTGGAGTGCATTTGTATTCAGCCCCCTTTACTCTGATACCCCTAACTAAAATCTAGTGGAACCAATTGCCTTCAGAAGTCACCTAATTAGTAAATACAGTCCACCTGTGTGTAATTTAATTCTGTGAAGCCCTCAGAGGTTTGTTAGAGAACATTAGTGAACAAACAGTATCATGAAGGCCAAGGAACACACCAGATAGGTCCGACAAAGTTGTGGAGATGTTTAAAAGTAGGGTTAGGTTATAAAAAAAATATCCCAAGCGTTGAACATCCCATGGAGCACTGTTCAATCCATCATATGAAAATGGAAAGAGTGTGGCACAACTGCAAACCTACCAAGACATGGCCGTCCACCTAAACTAATAGGTCGGACCAGGAGAGCATTAATCAGAGAAACAGCCAGTCAAGAGGCCCTTGGTAACTCTGGAGGAGCTGCAGAGATCCACAGCTCAGGTGAGAGAATTTGTCCACAGGACAACTATTAGTCATGCACGCCACAAATCTGGCCTTTATGGAAGAGTGGCAAGAAGAAAGCCATTGTTGAAAGAAACCCATAAGAAGTCCCGTTTGCTGTGTCCCCCACATGGCTTCTTGAAAACTGCAAACAGGTGGAAGAAGGTGCTCTGATCAAATGAGACCAAAATTGAACTTTTTGGCCTTAAAGCAAAACATTATGTGTGCGGAAAACGAACACTGCACATCACCCTCAACACACCATCCCCAACGTGAAACATGGTGGTGGCAGTGTCATGTTGTGGGGATGCTTTTCTTCAACAAGGACAGGAAAGCTGGTCAGAGTTGATTGGAAGATGGATGGAGCCAAATACAGGGCAATCTTAGAAAAAGAAAAACTGTTAAGAGTCTGCAAAAGATTTGAGACTGGGGCAGAGGTTCACCTACCTGCAGGACAATGACTCTAAACATACAGTCAGAGCTACAATTGAATGGTTTTGATCAAAGCATATTCATGTGTTAGAATGGCCCAGTCAAAATCCAATTAATAATCTGTGGCAAGACTTGAAAATTGCTGTTCACAGACGCTCTCCACTTAATCTGCCAGAGCTTGAGCTATTTTACAAAGTAGAATGGGCAAAAATGTCACTCTCTAGATGTGCAAAGCTGATAGACACATCCCCAAAAAGACTTGCAGCTGTAATTGCAGTGAAATGCGGTTCTACAACGTATTGACTCAGGGGGGCTGAATACAAATGAACGCCTCACTTTTCAGATATTTGTCAAAAAGTTTAAAAACCATTTGTCATTTTCCTTCCACTTCACAATTATGTGCCACTTTGTGTTGGTCTATCACATAAATCCCAATAAAATAGATTTACATTTTTGGTTGTAACATGACAAAATGTGGAAAATTTCAAGGGTATAAATACTTTTTCAAGACACTGTATCTCCACTGCCCTAGAGTCCAGTGGCGGTGTACTTTACACCACTGCATCTGACACTTTGCATTGCACTTGGTCATGTAAGGCTTGGATGAAGCTGCTCGGCCATGGAAACCCATTCCATGAAGCTCTCTATGCACTGTTGTTGTGCTAATCTGAAGGCCACATGCAGTTTGAGGGTCTTTAGTTATTGACTTTTCAGACAGTTGGCAACTTCTGTGCACTGTGCACCTCAGCATGCGCTGACCTCGTTCTGTCATTTTACATGGCCTACCACTTTGTGGCTGAGTTGCTGTTGTTCCCAGTTGCTTCCACTTTGTTATAATACCGCTAACAGCTGACCGTGGAATATTTAGTAGCAAGCAAATTCATGGATGGACTTATTGCACAGGTGGCAACCTATCATGGTACCACACTTGAATTCACTGAGCTCCTGAGAACGACCTATTATTTCACAAATGTTTGTAGAAGCAGTCTGCATACCTAGGTACTTGATTTTATACACCTGTGGCCATGGAGGTGATTGGAACACCTGAATCCAATGATTTGGAGGTGTGGCCCAATACTTTTGACAATACAGTGTAAATTTCTAAAGGTGCTTTTGACATGAA